GAAGATAATACATTTTTCAATGAAAATAACTAATTAGAGAATAAGAGAAAATGAATCAGAAATGATTTGGAAAACTCAACAAGGACAAAATTATTACAAGTAAAAATTGTCCACAAATACTGTTTTAAAAATTGATAAACTGGCCTGGATAAAACACTTTCCTGGCCTCCCCAATGATCCAAGTAAAGTCCTAATGAATTCCCCTGCCTGTCACTCACATTTACTGGTGTGGCTGGATGTATTTCAGGACCGTGAATTCCTTGTTAGCTCCACAGTGCCCCCTGGTGGCACATATGACAGAAGACACAGTAACCACCCTTACATGTTGCTTAAATGCAGGTGACTACAGATTTTATAAAAAATTCTACACTTTTCTTGCTGGGATTTAGGTAGGCTCTTTACATACTTTGATCATAATATTTATTAACACATTGTACTGAGTTATCAGCAGCATATCTAAAAGAGGCACGGTTAAAAAACAAACTTGAAACTCTTTTAGTCCAGATTCCAGTCATCTGATCGAGCAATTAAAACAGCATTATCAAGACTGTAATAGGTGAGAGAGTAATTCCTTACTGGAATTATTTTTCCATTTTATTATATCTTCATTTATGTTTCAAATAACTAGGGAAACAGCCGTCTGTGCTGCTGTTCCTTCTTCTGAGCCACACTCCCCGTCCAATGTCTTTAAACCCTGAGGCAGAGATCAGGCGCAGTTAGGCACAGCTTTCGTTCCATGGAGAATGGTGAGAGGGGAGAAATAAATAGGCCGGTGTAGTGGGCAGAATAAAACCCCTAAGGACGTCCATGGGCCAGTGCCCAGACACGTGGATGTGGCAGGGTAGTGGAGAAGGGCCAGTACGGTGACCACGGAGTTAAGGTTGCTAGTCTGCTGACTTTAAGTTAGGGACATTGTCCTGGACTATCCTGGTGGGCCAATATCGTCATAGCATCATTATCAGTGGGTGAAAGAGGCAGAAGAGGAGGGCAGAGTGATGTGGTATGAGAAGGGCTCAACCCACCCATGCTGGCTCTCAGGATGAAAGGGCCATGCGACAAGGAACATGGGGGTGGCCTCTCCAAGATGAAAAAGGCAAGAAAACAGATTGCCCCTTGTAACCTCCAGAAAGACCCAACTTTGAGAACCCTTTATGTCAGCCGATTGGGGTCAGGATCAATCTCTTGACCTCTTGAACTCTGGGATAACACATCTGTGTTAATGTAAGTCACTCAGCTTGTGATAAGTTGTTACAACAGCACTACAAAATTATACAATCAGTTTATACACTAACATATTCATGTAAAAATAAGGAAGCAACCTCATAACTCGTACAATTTTTATTTCCGCAACTTCACTTTCTGTGAGAAGAGTTCCCTGGTCAGATGTGACAGAATATCATGAGAGGAAGTAAAGTAAGAAGTAGAAGTGGCTGCTACCAGCTGATGGCGATTGTTTTTCTAAGAATTAAAGATATGGCTATTTTCTAGCCTTTGGGCTGTGTATATAACTGTGTATGCATTAATGTGTGGCATGTGTATGTGCAGGTGGCTATGTGCATACACATGAGCACATGTTAGAGTATGAATGTGAGTACCTGAGCATGTGGTAGTGTGAGTGTGAGTATGTGCATACATGTGCATGTGTGTGCATGCAGGGGAGGGTGCATGCATAAGAGTGCACATATATTCTATGCATGCATATGTGTAGATGTGCACATGCATGCACACACATGCATTTCACAGATGCCAGATCTCTGAGGCAGCACAGCTCTCTTCCAACAGAAGAGGCAGAGTCTGAAATCAGAGAGCTGACAGACCTGAGTTGCAATCAAGCTCTGCCCCTCCCTACCGCCCACCCTGGTCTTGACTATTGGTCTTTCCTGTGCTAGTGACGGTGATGCTGATACTACAGAGGCTTGTGGGAGTGTCCCATCAGGGAGCAGCTGCAAGGCTCCGGGTCCACCCTAGTTGCCAGCATGTGGAAGTTGCTACAATGTTCTTCATACCTTCCCAACCATGATGTGCCACGAGTTTCGCATTCCCAACTTTCCACTTGTCTTAGTTCCCAGGGCTGCCATGTCAATGTACCACAGACCAGATGGCTCAAACAACAGAAGTTTAATCTCTATCATAGGTCTGGCATCTAGAAGTCTGAAATCAGGGTGTAGTCAGGGTTAGTTACTTTTGAGGCTGTGAGAGATAATTTGCTCTGGGCCTCTAGTCTGGTGTCTGGGGGGTTGCTGGCCATTCTTGGTATCTGTTGGGCCGTAGGAGTTTCTCTCTGTTCCCCCAACTTTACACAGTATTCTTCCTGTGTGGATGTTTGTCTGCCTGCGTGTGTGTTCACATCTCTCCTCTTTATAATGGCACCAGTATTATTGGATTAGAGACCCACTCTATTCCAGGATGACCTTGTCTTGCTTAATTATATCTGAAGGACCCTATCTCCAAATATAGTCCATTTTGAGTTACTGGAGTTAGGACTTCAACACAGGAATTTTGGGGAAACAAATCAACCTATAACATTATATCTTAGTTGCCATGTACAACTTAGACACTAAAATTTTATCTCTATATCAAAGGCCATCTATTTATCCATTCATTCACCCATATCTTATCTGCCTACTTACCTATCATCTACATGAGAACATTTTTAAAAAATTTCACAAGCTATTCATTCACTAAGCAATCACTATTAAGAGAAACTTATATAAAGCACCAGTTTTTGATTATATGATTACAACTTAAGGGCAATTGATAATCAGTGTGGTCCAATTAGCTAAAACAGAGTAAGTTTAACCTGTGTGTGAGTAGTGATATGTATTCTTATATGAAGTTTTAACTCGTTTGACCAGCAGAGGGCAATCCAAGCTAAACTTTGGAAAGCCTTTGTTGGATTTTTCAAATGACTTCAATCAAGAACAAGGGTGCATTCCTGTCTTGGTCCCAGTCTTAAAGGAGCAGCTTTTAGTTTTCGCCCATGGAGTATAATATTGGCTGCAGGTTTGTCATGTACGGCCTGTATGACATTGAGGTGTGTTTCCTCTATTTCCAGTGTGCTGAAAGAGTGTTTATCCTAAATGGGAGCTGGATGTTATCAAATGTATTTTCCTGCATTTACTAATAATGATTACGTGATTTCAATCCTTCATTTTGTTTATGTGGTGTACCACATTTATTGATTGGCAGATATTGTACCAACCTTGCATCCCAGGAGTAGACCCCACTTGATCATGGTGTATGATCTTTTTAACATATTGCTGAATATGGTTTGTAATATTTTGTTGAGGATTTTAGCATCTATGCTCATCAGGAATATGGGCCTGTAATTTCCTTTCTCAGTAGTGTCTTATCTATTTTTGAAATTAGAATAATGCTTACATCATAAAGTAAGCTTAGGGGTATATCCTTCTCTTAAATTTCTTGCAATAGTTTGAGGAGGATAGATGTTATTTCTTCTTTGAATGTTTGTTATAATTCACCTGTGAAGCCATCTGGTTCAGGACTTTTGCTTGCTGGGCTTTTTGATTACTGCTTCAGTTTTACTAGTTGCAATTTGTCTCTTCAGATTTGCTGATTGTTCCTTATTCAGTTTTGGGAGATTGTATGTTTCTTGGATTTTACCAATTTCATTCAAATTGTCCAGTTTGTTGGTATATAGTTGTTCATAGTATTTTCTTATAATCCTGTGTATTTCTTTGGTGTAAGTTGTTGCCTCTCTTATTTTGTTTATGATTTTATTTATTTGGGCCCTCTCTCTTTTTTTCTTGAGGAGTCTGATTAAAGGTTTATAAACCTTTTTTTCCTCCAAGAGCCCCAGCTCTTGGTTTCATTGATCTTTTGCATTATCTTTTCAGATTCTATTTCATTTATTTCTGCTCTGCTCTTTATTATCTCCTTTCTCTACTCACTTTTGGGCTTTGTTCATTGTTTTATTTATGATTTCTTTAAGTATAAAGTTAGATTATTTGATTTTTTTTTGTTTCTTTTGCCTATAGTACTATTAATTTCCCTCTTAGAACTGCTTTTGCTGTGTCCCATAGACTTTAGTTGCTGTGTTCTTATTTTCATTTGTTTCAAGGTGTATTTTGGTTTCTTTCTTCATCACATTGTTAGCTCTTTCATTGTTCAGTACCATGTTATTTAGCCTCTATATCTTTGTGTGTTTTTCAGTTTTTTTTCCTTGTGATTGATTTCCAGTTTCATACCATTATGATCTGAGAAGAAGTTTCATGTGAGTTCAATCTTCTCAAATGTATTGAGACTTGTTCTATGTCCTAATATGTGGTTTATCTTAGAATATATTTCATGTGCACTTGAAAATGCCTATTCTGCTGCTTTGGAGTGAGATCCCATGAATACATCAATTAAATCTATTGGATCTAGTATGTCATTTAAGACTGCTGTTCTCTTGTCAATCTTCTGTCCTGAAGATCTATCTGTTGATAACAATGAGGTATTAAAATCTCCTACTATGACTGTAGTACTGTAGATCTCTCCCTTTATGCCCATCAAGATTTGCTTTATATATTCAAATAATTCTATGTTGGGTGCATACATGTTTACAAGGGCTATCTCCTCTTGTTGGATTACTCACTTTACTATTATGTATTATCCTCCTTTCTCTTTTACTATAGCTTTTTATGAAAATTCTATTTTGTTAGATATAAATATTGTTACCCCAGGTTTTATGTCCATTCGCATGAAATTTATATTTTACCCATTTATTTTCAGTCTGTGTGCATCTTTTGTTCTGAGGTGGGTCTCTTGTAGACAGTGTGTATACAGGTCTTGTTTTCTTATCCATTCAGCTACTCTGCATCTTTGATTGGATCATTTAAGCCATTTGCAATTAAAATGAGTATTGATAGGTATGTATTTATTGCCATTTTATTCTTTTAACTATGTTTCTCTGTTTTGCTGATTTCTTCTTCTTCTTCTTTTAAAAATGATGGTTTGATGCCACAAAGTGGCACAAAGTGGCATCAAAGGTTAAGGTTAACCACACATGGTTAAGGCCATTGGTGGCAATGCCTTAACCATATGTGTGTTGTTAGGCCCAAGAGCCTCTTCTGTACTTGTCAAGGGGCGTGCTTACTTGCTCTTCTTTTATACAACAGTTTTTGTCTTTTTAAAGATCTGTTAACATTTCTTGTATTGCTGGTTTTGTGGTAACAAACTCTTTTAGCTTTTTCTTGTCTGGGAAGCTCTTTATTTCTCCTTCAGTTTTAAATGATGTCTGCTTTTATTACTCTTTTTAACATAGTACTCGAAGTCCTAGCCATAGGAATCAGACAAGATGAAGAAATAAAAGGCATTCAAATTGGAAAGAAAGAAGTAAAACTGCCATTATTTGTGGATGACATGATACTGTATATAGAGAACCCTAAAGATTCCACCGAAAACTACCAGAAGTGAGAAATAAATTCAGTAAAGTATCTGGATACAAAATAAATATCGAGAAATCAGTTGTATTCATATATACCAGTAATGAACTATCAAAAAGGGAGATTGAGAAAATAATCCCATTTATAATTTCATTTAAAATATCCAGGAATAAACTGAATTCAAGATGTAAAAGATCTGTATATAGAAATTATAAGAAACCTGAGAAAAGTAATTGAAAAAGATACAAATAAGTGGAAGCATATACCATGTTCATGGATAGGAAAAATTAACATAATTAAAATGCTCATACTACTCAAAGCAATCTATGGATTCAACAAAATTCCTATCAAGATACTAATAGAATATTTCACAAAATTAGGACAAATATTTCAAAAATTTATATGGAACCACAGAGGACCCAGAATATTAGCAGCAATCTTGAGAAAGAAGTACAAAGTTGGAGAAATCATGCTTGATATAAAGCCATACTACAAAGCCATAGTAATAGAAACAGCATGATACTGGAAAAGCTCTTAAATAGACATTTCATTAAAACAGACATATAGAGCTATAGAACAGAACAGAGACCTCAGAAATAAACCAAGTCTTTTATGGTCAATTAATATTTAACAAAAGTGGAAAGAACATACAATGGGGTAAAGACAATCTATTCACTATATAATATTTGGAAAAATGGGCAGATATATGCAAATAATAAAATTAGACCAACTTCTTACACATTAGATAAGAATAAACTCAAAATGGAATAAAGACAAATGTAAGACTCAAAATTATAAACATCCTTGAAGAAAACATAGTTAGTAAAATCTCAGACATTTCTCATAGCAATATTTTCTGATATATTTTCTCAGGCAAGAGAAACAAAAGAAAAAATAAATAAATGTAACTGCATCAAACCAGAAAGTTTTGCATAGCCAAGGAAATGACAAAATGAAAAGACAGCCTACTGAATGGGAGAACATATTGCCAATAACACATTTGATAAGGGGTTAATATTGAAAATTTATAAATAATTTATATAACTCAACATGAAGAAGACAAACAATCCAATTAAAAAATGGGCAAAGCTCCTAAATAGATTCCTCCAAAGAGGACATACTGATGGTCATGGCCCACAGACATATTAAAAGATGATATGCCACTAATCATCAAAGAAATGCAACACAAATGAGATACACATCACCCTGTCTGAATGGCGACCCTCAATACCTCAATAAAAAAGTGTTGGTGAGGAGGTGGAGAAAAGGAAACCCTAAGTACACTGTTGGTGGGAATGCAGATTGGGGCAGCCACTGTGGAAAATAGTGGAGAGTTATTTCAAAAAATTAAAAATGGAACTTCTTTATGACCCAGCAATTCCAATTCTGGGAATATATCTGAAGAAATCATAAATATTAATTTGATAGAATATAGGTATCCCTATATTCACTGCAGCAGTACTTACAGTGGCCAAGATTAGGAAGCAACCCAAGTGCCCAATAGTAGATGGGTAGATAAAAAGCTGTGGTAAATTTACACAATAGAATACTACTCGGCCATCAAAAAGAAGAAGTAAAAAACCTGAAATTTTACCTTTTGCGATAGTGTGGATAAAACTGGAGAGTATTGTGCTGAGTTAACTAAGGCAATCAAATAAAGACAAATACCACATAATTTCACTTACATATGGAATCTAATGAACAAAATAGAAACAGACTCATAGATAGAAAACAGACTGACAGCTGTCAGAGAGAAGTGGTGGTTGCAGGGCTGAGTATAAAAGCTGAAGGGATTAAGCAAAAAAAAAAAAATCCCACAGACACGGACAAAAGTGTGGTGATTGCCAGAGGGAAAGAGGTAGCGGGGAAATAGGAGAATGTAAGGGGGTATAAATGATGATGGAAGGAGACTTGATGTGGGGTGGTGAACACACAATACAATGTACAGATGATATATGATAGAACTGTACACCTGAAACCTATATAATTTTATTAACTAATGTTACCCTGATAAATTCAATTAAGAAAGAAAAAGGGTACATCATGTAGCACCATGCATGAATATTAGGAGTACCTAGAGTTTCTTCCAAAGGAAAAATAGAGATTGTCTCCATTTGTACATATACAAATTAAATAGTAGCAGTAGTATGTGTTGGTTATCTCCAGGGACTCTTTTTTTTAAAGTGATTTCATATTTAAAAATCTTTTCTCAACAGAAGTTGCCTGGATTTTCAAGGGAAAACATAATGCAGCATTTGTCATATATTCTGGCTAAACTTTTGTAAACAGCTTTACTTTCACACAGAGAATGGGTGTTTTAAGAAGTTGGTGTTAATTCCAAGTAATCAATTTAATTCATTTATGATTTCATTTGCAGGACTCATGAGTAAATGTCAGAAGAGATCAGGTATTTATTTCTTCATGTCATTTTTATGGCATAGAACCCTGTACTCTTAGTTAAGAGAATGAGAATAAAGGGTTAAACAGCACCTTTAAATATTTTTGTTTATATATAAGACAGCCACAGGAAACTAAAATCCTCAAAATGAGAAAATATTACCTCAGAGGCTGCTGTTTAAAGTCTGCACTATATTCACAGTACTCTTGATAAGCAGATCCCCATGGATATTACTATGGAAAAGCACCACTTGGGCCTGGATAAGGGGATTTTATTTGGTGGTTATTCTCTCATTTAGGTAAATTACTGAATATGAATTGACCAGTTGACAGCTATCTAGAAAACAGATAAATTTACCTAATACTGTTTGAAATAGATTCATGAATTTAAAGGGCCGGCCTCCTAGAAGCAGCTGAAGTGGTCCAGAAGAGAACATCCTCCTGAACTTGGTAAAGTATTCCTGACCTGACTTTTATTCAAAATGGCTGACACCTTCATATTACTAAAATTCATGTCTCTCAACAAACATTTGAGAAAAATTTATACTATTTCTGAAATACATTCAATGGGGGCCCCTGGAAGCCCTTCTCAGGGGAGGAAAGCCCCAATGGGTACAAAGATATTTTATCATAACACTAAGTAGCTCCTTCAGCTTGGTTCAGAGATAGAAGACTTTACTTGCTATTTCACATTTATTAAAAAATAAACATTCAATTTATCTTATCAATAAGAAACCAGTATTCCTGAAAAAATTTAAATGATGACAGAACATCAGAGTAGGAAACAGTCATCTCTTTTGAACATCTAGTCAGACAACTACTCGATAGTCCGTGAGATCCTGAAACTAGGGCTACACACTGAATATAGTGTACTATATTCTGTCTGTCACATTGCACCTCTGAGTCTTACCCTTCTCATCTGTAACATAAAACATGCATGGTCCATGCTGGTCATTGTGCCCAGTCTGCTCACTGCCTCTGTTGAGGGAGAAGACCTAGACTCAAATTTCACTCTGAGATCACATCTCCAGCTCTTAACTGACTGGAGTAAACATTGACTGAGGAAAGCCCATTCATGAACTGGCCAGTGTCCATGATGAGGCCTGGCAGAGGAAGACAAAATGTTACCTATTTTGAGAAACTGACTGAAGAAATAATCAGAGAAGTTAGGGGATAAAAATACGCACCAAATCCATCTTGAGATAGTGTTGGCTTATGAGGAATTAATAGAAGCTCACATTGTCATGATGCATGAACACAAGTGTGTAAAATGGGTACAAAATATACCAATTTCTAAGGGCTGAATTACAAATAAATTATTACATGTAAAGTACTTATAACAGTCCCTGGCACATGGCCTCTCTATACAAATATTTTCTGGTATGTCAGTGTTGTCAGCATTTCTGTTACGGTCATTACCCAGTCTACCACCTCTGAAAAACATGGGGACTTTCAAATCTGCTCCATGGTGCATGTGATGGAAGGAGACTGCCACACTCTCTTTGTCACACCCATCTTGTCACTATTTGTCCTTCACTTCAGTTGGCCTAAATGTCAGAGCTTTCCTGTGGCTGCCTCCTCCCAGGATCCCAGCAGGAAGTGAGGAGTGACTCTGTTCTGCTCTGCGATCCTCAGAGTAATGGGGTTTCCCATCACTCAGCATCCATGCTGAGGAGTCAGGCCTAGGAATGTTTTGGGTCACTTTCCTGTGTCTTTGTGTTTCTTGTCTCTGATTTTTCTGGAGATGCACTAGTATGAACTTGGATTTGTTGAAAGGACCTGCTCTGACTTAATATTCCCTGCCCTTGACCACTCCATGGTGTCCATGCACTTGTTCTCTGGGCTCTGGCTATTGCTGAGCCAGATAAGCCAAAGGGTATCTAGGAAATACTGCATAAAAAAACAACACATATCTCAAATTTTCAAGAACAGTCTGTGTATCCATTCATATATTTTTATATTTTATGAAGTATTTATATTTTTACTTTAAGATTATTTTTAATTGAAAATTGATGGTAAATTACACTAAATACCACATTAGCATCAATTGCAATGATTTCTTCATAGTCAACCATATGATTATAGTCAATGATAATAAAGAAATATCATATTATGGACTTTTGTACATATTTATGAACATTATTGATAATATTTAGTATTATTTAAAGCACTACTTAATTTTCTTTGCTAACATTTTACTTGTGGTTTTACATTGCTATTTGAAAAGAGTTTATTCTCTTTCTTGACTGTTGTCATTGTGTGCATGGACATTTGTCTTTGACAAATTTTGGTAAAATATTACTTTTGCTTCACTGAAAAATAGTTTTCTTTCTATA